AAAACCACGTCAATCGCCACCAAGCTGGTCGAAATCGGTTGATTCGTTCGAAAGATATCGTGAACGAAAAAAAAACCGAAAAAAGTGTTTTTTCGGAATTACTCCGAAATTTTTGGTTGGATCATTTCAAACCTGAAAATTTTTCATAAGGCTGATAAAGCTGCGTCGAATGCCGCCAACCGCGTGAAAATCAGTTGATCCATTCAAAAGTTATTGCGTCTTGAAAATTCAAAAAATAGTGTTCTATGAAACTTTTATCAGTCTTTTGAACTCGAAGAGCTCAAATGCATACAAATACTATCTCTTTGAGCTCAGCGAACTGAAAATATCACATAAATTATATTTTGAGCTCAAAAATCTCAAAAATGTCATAAGTTCAATTTTAAACACCCAGGTATGGAATTAGCGGGAAGTTGCAGGGATGGCCTTCAGGGTCAACCGTTTTTCTAATTTTTAACTTCCCGCTAAGAAAATTGAAAAATTTTTTTTTTAATATCTTTGAAATGCCTTGACCAATTGGCTGTAAAATCTAATCAGATCTAAGTCTTTATGAATTTTTTCGGATGCTACGTCGCTCATCCCATTCCGTAGATTTGTGCTAAAGATACCGTAGGACTTTTGGAATAATGACAATAACGTTCCAAATTTTCAGAAATTTAAAATTTTTTTACCGAGAACTTGAGAAGATGTGAAATAAAAACCATTGAGTTTTAAACTATTTTGCTCCAATCTTTTTATTTATTAATTTCTTAGTATATTTCATAGAAATTTAACTATTGCATTAGTTCTCATGACGGAACTTTTAAAAAATTTTGCTATATATCGACTCAGCTCGTCAAGCGGATTCAGAAAATACGTATAGTTCAAAAGTTTATATATATATTTTATAACTTTCTTAATTCTGAACGGATTTGAATGAAACGTAACATACTCATTTTTTGGACGATTTCTGAGGCTAAGTTCTACGATAAGCTAAATCTGTCAATTAGTTTAGAAATGAAAGCAATTCAAAAATTTTTACTTTTACCGTATTCCCGTGCAATAACAATTGAACACGATATCCTATCAAATTTCCATAAATTGCATCTGAAAGCTTATTAAATAAACTTTAATTCGCATACCTCACCATCTTTCTAGGCCAAAAATTACTGACTCTTTCTGTCTATTTAATGGAATTTTACTCTTGCATTCGTTTTGGAAATTATGATTTTAGTAGTTGTTTAGTAGTTGTTTGATTCACTGTGAAATCTACTTCCATTTTGGCTGCCGAATGGTCTTTTTGATTTTCTTTAATGACCACAAAACAAAAAAATGTCAACGATTAAATTGGAACGTGATCCTCATGCAATGTAAAGCCTAGCGTGTAATTAAACTTGTAATTTCAAAAAATCAAAATGTGTAACTGTACTTCGTTTACACGTTTGAACGTAGGGTAGGGCGGGGCTAGTTGATCGTATAGGGGGGGGGTAAGTTGTGCAATCGAAATATCTCGAAAACTAAGCAACTTACAACAAAAGTGTAAATGGTGAAAAGAAAGGGTTACGAGAGGAGAACACATCGTGCGAAAAGTCAACTGCCGTCCGATGTTTAGACTAACTGACAAAACGTTTTCTTTTTTTTTTTTTTGCGTCAAAAAAAAACAGGTCTTTAGAATTTTTCTCCTACACTCGCTTAAAAATGCTATTTCGCGATCACGAAAGTATTCAAAGATGACTTAATGTTTGCCCTTTCGATTATATATGATTGTTTATTTTTTATTCTTATCATTCTTTTATAACCTAACTTTTATTTTGTTGCCTCAATTGGGGCTAGTTGAGCAAGGCGGTGACTGCGTGTTAAAACAGCCCTACTAGATTTTCAATATTGAAAAATAAAATTTTTCTTCACTAAATTAATAATTATCAATTGATTTGTACATGTGATGATTTAATATAATCTGTAAAAATTAAAATAACTCATATTGATATTATATTAATGAATATATAACATAATTATAATTAATGTTGTTATGTTAATAATTATTATTATAATCATAATTATACGTATGTAGAATTATAATAAATTAAATATTTGCTTGTGAATTACAATTTTATTTTGTTTTCATATCATTCTATACAGTCATTCCGTCTATTTTAGCAATTGCACAACTAGCCTCATACCCATGCTCAACTAGCCTCACTAGTGGGGCACGTTGAGCAATTTGGAGCGCTCGCGTATTTCCGGGAATAACTTGAAAATTTGGACTCGGATCGTTTTTGTGTCACTAGACCTTTTGAAGAAGACTAAATTACGAACCTAACAGTATATGATTTGATTAAATCCGATACATCGTCTTAAAGTTATGGAAGGTTGAACCAAAAAGTGATCAACTAGCCCCGCCCTACACTAACATCAATACATTTGAAAAAAGTGACGCATAGTTTATACACAATTTAGTGTATAATGTCATAAGTTTTATCCGTGAATTATTTTTTATGCAAAAAAAAAATACTAAAATTTCACTTTTCTTGATATTTTTATTCAATGAATTTCTTAATACTTTGATATGTTGTTAGGTGTAATTTTTGATAATTTCGAAAAAACGTAAAAAGTTTGTCGAAAATTTTCCGATAAAAATATGTTAGTATACCTAACCCTCCCCTTTCATTTTTTTAAATTATTAGTACAAATTCAGAATTTCTTCGGTGTATAAAGTAACCATGATTTCTTCAGTTTTCAACAATTTAAAATTTTCTTAGTTGTAATAAAAAATAAAATATATAGAATAAAGCAATATTAGAAGTTAAAATATACAATTCAACGAGTAACTTAACATAATTAATGTCTCAATTTAAAGTCATTGTTACGATGCTATTATAATGAAAATATCCGTAAGTAAAATAACTTTTTATTCCATTTTCCTATTCTTTCATAATGTCCTTGGCCTGTTTCGCCAATACACTCTAGGACAATACAGTTGGCAATAATTCAATTTCATATTCTCAACGACGGCACCAGCATCAAATAAATGGATTCTGAACGAGCATTATCAAATAGTCCCAACACCCAGCTCTGCTGCCTGTAAGTGTTGCAGATGACTCTTGAGCAACGTCAGCTCCTTGTTGTCCTGGCGTCGAAGGTTCAAGTTTTCCTGGCAACTTTAGTAACTCAATAGCCAACGAACCAAATCTATCGGGACCTGAGGTTGTTGAATCCTGATGTGAAAATGTCAATAGTTTCTAAGCATCATGAAAACAACATCAAGATAAATAACATTGATTACCGATACCGATTTTGTAGCAATATGTGTACAAAATTACCTACACAGAAAAAACAAACTTCTTGCGCCAAGAAAAATTTAAGGAGGACAAAAGTTATTTTGGAGCAAGAAGGAATTTTCTTGGCTCAAGAAAATTTCCTAGGTTCAAGAAACTTTGACTTCATTCAAGAAATTTTCAATCTTCCTTAATATTTTCTTGGCTCACGAAAATTTTCAGGTTTGAGAAGGAAAACTCAAATTCGCTTGGCCCAAGTATAAAAATTTCTTGTAAAGTTTTAATCGCCACCCCAAGGAAAATATGTTTTTTTTTTCTTAGTTATTATGTTCAATGATTCACTTTTGTAAGCCAAAATAAATGAATTAAGTTTATTCGATGTCAAACTATGTTTTTTAGAATTTACAATTCAATTTTCTTGAAGTGAGAAAAAATGGAACTTAAACTATGTTCACGAATCATTCAAGACAAAAACAAAATTTTTTTGCGAGAAGATAATTTACTTGAACCGAAGTAAAAAATTTTTTCGAAGTAAAATTTTCTTGAAACTATAAAAAATTTTTTTTTCGCTCTAAATTTTTTATTTGATTCAAGTTAAACTTTTTTAGTATATTTCATAGAAATCTAACTATTAATTTTGTTCTCATATGTCATAAATTGAAATATTTTGCTATATATGGAAGTTATGTTTTAGGTTCCTGAAAAAGTATAAATATTTTTGGAACTTCATTCATTATTTATTAGGGGATTTATTTTCACTTTTATTTTCTTAATGTTTATCAAAATATTAATAAAAAAAATATTTTTCCTCAACGATTTAAATAAAAATGTGAATTAACTAAGTCTTATTAATTAACAAATATTGATTTTATTTAAGTCAATACAAAAGGTCGACCATAAAATTCCATGACACGTACTGTATTTTATAAATATAATAATGTACAATAGTTATAGTTATTATACAAACAAATTCATTGAAGTCGTCCTTATTATGAGACAATTCAGTTTTGCCAAGACTTCTGTATAATCCTTTAGTCATATATTTGTATTCGTTGATTACATATGATTAATGACAGCTTTGTATGCTTACTTAATGCTATACATACAACAAACACAGTGTCACATCTTTTAAACTTTATCATTCAAGATACTCGTAAGATTTCTTGCAAATTTTTGGTTAATGTTTGTTAACATTCCACATTAATAAACAATTGCAATGTATAAGAAAGAAGTTAAACTTTTCTATAATATTGTAGCATTATTGTATAAAAACGCTTCGATAAGCAAGCAAGTAATAATAATATGCATTTTTGCATCTGTATAGAAAATACTTATAAAATTATTAGATGTGATTTTTCCATAAAACTTACTGGCTAATAACTTAAACTAACACAAAAAATATAATTTTATGAATAATATTAATAATTTATGAATTTACTCATCATAAATAAAAAATAAATTAAAAAAACAACTAGTATTATGTCATGTCGTTGAAAAAGATAAAATTATTTAAACATAATATAATTTTATTAAATCTTTATTTATTACTATAATTATTTTTTGTGATAAGTATTCAGCCTTATCATAGAAAGCAATTTATAATTGTCACATATACTTCCTCTTTTAATGAACAGACAGTTTGTAATTAATATCAATAGTTATTTGATTAAGTTATTCAATACTTATTTTATATCTGTGACTCTTTTCTTGTAGTACAATTCATAAATTAGCGTTATTTTTTTTATAATGACACAAATTATCGTTGAACTTCCTTCCATTCCCAAAAAAATACTTTGGCCCCAATGGCTAACTGGAATTACAAGTAATTTTCAATTACATATAAAAAAATTAAATTTTTTTGAGTGCTTCATTGGTTCTTATCGTTAACTGGATAATAAAAGTAAATTTCGGCAAATTTTTTATATGTAAAGTTTCACTCGCTGTACTTACGTCTGGACTTTCCAGTGGATGGACATCACCATATCTAGCAAAATTCACCTCTCCAGACATGAATACTTCTATAAACCTTTCTGAAACTGAAGCATCATGGGTGGCGTCTTTGCTTAATCTTGGTAGATTTGGAGGTTCAATAGTTGGAGCAACAAGTCAAGGTATTTCTATCAAGTATTTAAAATAAGGTAATTGTTTAGATAAGAAATCGAAAAATTTTGAATTATTAACAAAAGCTCTTTTTTTTGTTTTTATTTCGTTTTTCTTTGGTGAATTTATACATCTATTATTAAAAATTTACAAAATTTCATGCTAAGAAATGCACACTTATCTAACTATTGGTTAAAACTTTTCAATTTCAGAGAATAATGGTAAAAATGGTAAAAAAATGCGTTTTTTAGACTTTCGAATCAAATAATATAGTTCAAAAACTTATTTTCCAAAATTTTTCGAGTTATATTCATCGACCTACAGCGATAAAGGCTAAAATAAAAATCTTGAATAAACAAATTTTTCGATTTTTTTATAGCCAAAAATCGGTAAAACCACACATCTAAACAATGACCTAAAATTAAACATATTCTTATTATGTAACTTTAATCGTATTGATATTATTGATTCATCAGGAATTATCGGTAGAAAAAAGACACTTTTGATTTCTACAGTTCCTATGGCAATCGGCTGGACTTGTACGATTATTGCTAATTCAGTAACTTGGCTTTATGTGGCTAGATGTTTCTGTGGCATCGCTGGCGGGATGATGTGGACTACACTTTCGCTTTTCATAGGCGAAGTTTCAGACTCTTCTATACGCGGCTCTTTGGTATTTATCTATTATTTATTTATTTAACCGTCGGAGTACACTGGGGATCATTTTGACCCCAGAATTTTTTTTATCCTAAAATATTTCTCGAAAATAGGTTTATTTTTAATAAATTTTTTCAACATTAAAAACTATGTAATTCAAAATAAGAATGATTGTATTCAAAAGAGCATTGTTTTACCTACCAAAAATGTAATAACCTGAATTCCGATAAAATGCATAGTTTCTGAGATATAATTATTCGAAATTCTTCGAAAGTCAAGTGGGGTCAATTTGACCACGTGTGTATTCTAAAGTTCTGTTCGGAAGTGTGTACTCCGAGGGTTAAAAATTAAAATTTTAAAATATTATAGCTTAGATTATACTGAGTTTACTAAATTAAATTAATGTAGTAAAATTTCTCCTGCAATACATTCAAAAAAATTTCTGCAACGCGTTGCCCTGGCTAAATAATATATTATTATTCAAAATTTTAGTTCCTCAATTTGAATTTAAATTTAACTTTTTCATTCACTCATACTTCAAACAATATTATTTCAAAACATCCACGATAACTTATGCAGAAAATTTAATATTCTGGTTTGAGATTCAATATCAGATTAAAAAGCAAGTACGAATGGAAGCTCACTGATAAGGCAAATGCTTGTACGCGGTCATATTTTCAGTGAGTTATCCCCAATGGGAGCTGAAATTGTCACAATTACATGTAAATGCACTTAATGCATAGTAAGGCAATTTTAGTTACAATCTCAGGTATGTAAGAGCAGTATATTAAATTATTTCAAATAATCGTATAGAAATTAAGAGAAAGGATTTCGAAACTTCGGTTTTAATTTTAACATCTTTGAGCAAATAACGTGCGTAAAATAACCCTTTTCAATCGTTTCTCGATGCCATTTATTTTACTTGTTAGAAATACTAACCGTTACCCGACCGTTTTGCTAAACATATAAAAGATTTCAATAAACTCATTCGAAAAAAAAATATTTCTACCGAATTTCAAATCTGTGAAAGCTTCAGTTCAGAAGTAATTTTTTTTTTATAAATATAATTTCTATCAAGATAATATTCATCATTATAGAACAAAATCATTCGAAATAAAAAAAATTTATAGAAGCATATTTTTCAACATTTAAAAATATTTAATTTTTTTTACTTTATCTGACATTTTTCAAAAAGCTTCAAAAATTTAAGAATTTCACTTCATTTTGGTGTATTGGTTTTAATTAATGAAAAATATAAATATGGTCTAATTTTTTCAGGTACTTTTTTATACCAAATCACCTAGTTTTAAGAAAAATATATATTTTTATTTAACTGATTTCTTTAACTAATTTTTAAAAATTCGCAAGTTTTCAAATTTTGAAAATTACAAAAAGTAGTAGCATGATAACTTCGAAGAGAGTATTAATTTTATTTTCTATACATTTTTTAGATCAGCATTTATTTGAAATTCACAAATAGATTAAAAATAGTGAAGAGTACTGTTATATTTATATTTTTTCTATTCTGTAGTACCAATCATGAGCAGTACATAACTCACTCAATTCTTTGACTCTTTGTAAAGAAGAAAATATTTTAACGATCAATAATCTAATATTATCTTAAAAAAAAATTTAATCATTTTAATAATAAAACAATTTACATTTTGTAGGTATTCTTGAACTCAAATGCTGCGTTCGTCGGTGCGTTTCTAGGTAATATAATAGGAGCTCATTTACCTTTTGAACAATTCGGTTATGTCAGTTTGAGTTTGAATGCACTGTTTTTTATCATCTTCTGCTTTATTCCGGATTCACCATATCATTATGTAACAAAAGGTGATCTGAAAAGTGCAGAAGCTTCTCTCAAATGGTTCAAACGTGAAGCTAATGTCCTAAAGGAAATTCAAGAACTAAAAAATTTCATCGGAAATACAGAAACAAACCTCTTGACACAACTACGAGAGTTTAAAAAACCGCAAAATCGTAAAAATGTTATTATTATGGGGTCGCTAAATGTTTTTCTGTATTTTTGTGGGCATAATACAATGAACTATTATGCTGAAATCATCGTAACAAAAAGTAAAGTAAACTTTTCCCCTAGTACTATTGTAATAGCTCTTAGTCTGTGTACAATAATAGCTTGCTCATCTGCAGCAATGGTTGTTGATAGATTCGGAAGACGATTCCTTTTGATAGCTTCTTCTCTGGGAACAGCTTTATCATTGGCACTTCTTGGTCTTCACTTTCATCTTTTGTCTTTACATATCGAATCGACTCCATTTACTTGGTTGCCTATCGCTTCTCTCTTTCTTTACAATTTTTCTATTTCTCACGGATTAATTCCAGTTCCCAATGCTTTGATTAGTGAACTTTTTCCACCTAATATAAAAACGATGGCCTCTTTATTCTTCAGCGGAAGTTCAGCTCTCCTGTCATTTGCTACCACAAAAACATTTCAACCATTAATCAATATAATGAGTGAAAAATATGTATTCTGGATTTTTGCATTAAGTGCATTTAGCGCGGCACCATTCACGTATGCTTACATCACAGAGACCAAAGGTCAAACTCTTGTAGAAATACAAATAAACGCTGATCAAAATCAAAAAAAAAATTAATGGTAATTTTAATTAATGTTGTTACTAGTCTCATTATCTTTTATCTGGGAGTTGTGGTGAAATGAGATTTTTTAATTTTAATTTTGAAGCATTTCGTGTGGAATGTGCTCTTTTTTGATCAGCTTACATCTAAAAAATACTAAATGTAATTTGAGAAATTTAATTTTTTAATTATGGATCAAATAAATTTATGAATTAAATCACTTGGAGGCTTAAAAGTAAAATAATATAGATTGTTACTACAGTTTTGTTACAAAAAATTTTATTACAAACATATTTATTATATACCCTGATTAAAAAAAAAGTATTGAAAAGTATTGGTTTTCTAGTCAATCCAATACTTTTCAATACTTTTTTCTTTGTCTCAATTTTTTTTTATTCAGGGTACTGTAAATAACACCTCCACACGATTATAATCAACTTATTATTTATTATCTTATGTATTTCAAGCCAAAATAGTTTTTATTGTGAAAATTTTTATTAATTACTTTTAAAAATCATTGTATGATACGATAATGAAAAGTTAATAAGGTTTTAATTGTCTAATTTTAATATTATAAACGAAATATATGATTTTTTTTCAACTAAATTTTATGATAAGCCTACCATATATATGTTATTGTACACTAAAATAATTAATTTGAATCAAGAAGAAAATTCTTGAACCAAGAACATAATTTTGAAGATTTTTATTGTCTTGAATCAAGATGAAAATTTTTTGAATTAAGTAAAATTAAGTTCTTCAAAATTATTTTCTTGATTCAAGTCAATTTTTTTTCTGTATATATGTTAAGTAAATTAAAATTTTTAACTAATTATAGCGTAACATATGCCGTATTTATAATTATGTAATTAATATCATTATTTATTGTTAACTGTAAGATGTAAAAAAATAAATAATATGTGTGTATGTTGTATAAAGTTTTTAAAGATTGAATAAACTACTCTTCATATCATTTTTTTTGGAAAAGAAAATATTTTTTTTTTTACTGTATTACATTACATTAATAAAAAAAAAAAATGATGAGTATATTAAATAATTCTAATATAATTTAAATATAAATATTCAATTCGATTCGATTTGAACGATATTCGCACACCCCTACTTCAGACATGATCATGCATGAACAGGCATAGACAAGCATGATCAGGGCTGAGCGTATTTAAGGTAGTACGGTTATGAAAGCAATATTTTAAGAAATCCTCGAAACTTTGAATATGTCATTAGATACATTAAACATATGCTGTTAAAATTTGAAGACGATTTACCGTACCTAACTTGAGATAATTGCAATTGAAAAAAATGACATTTTTGTACATGTAACATAGGAGAAGCGTGGGAAAACGACAGTATTTTTAATTTTTTCCATCGAAGGAATTTCACGACTTTATCGAAAAACTAGTAGATTGAAGAATATGATATTTCGAACAATTAAAAAAAAAATGAAAATTATTTACCGTGTAGTTTTCGAGATTCATTAAAATAAATTTCATTTTTAGAGGATTATTTTTAGGAGAGGGGGTACGAAAAACAGCCGCTAGTCACTGAAACCTTAGTGTGTGTATATATGTATAGAGAATATAGTAGTCGACGAGTACAGTAACATTAAAAAATCTTAACCTACAACCTTAGCTCTGTCGATACATATAACATGGATAGTGTGAGCCAAAATTTTTTATCTGGATTATCGCAGAGGTACTACCTTAACGCTTTAGGCCTGGTCATAGATGAACAAGCATGGTCAGGTCTGATTATTTTTTCCCGGGTATATTTCTGTCTGTCAATCTATAATCAAGTTTTTTCCTAAAACTATGCAATAACTCAATTGTTATATAAAAGAAAAATATCATTTAATAATATTATTTCATAAAATCTTATTCGTTTCCCGAGTAAAAAAGATTTTCTATAATTAGATACGATTATGTATAATTGTATATCGTATATATATAATTGGATATAATTTATATATAATTCTATATAATTTGCATTTTATTCCGAAGATCGGTGATTTCATTAATTGAAGAGTTCAGTAATTCAAAGCCAACTTTCCCGATCCAAATTGACGGTAGACTAAATTTTAATTTTCATTAAATTTTAATTTTTACTTATTATCTATTTTCACATTGTTATCGGTATGAGTACTCATACCATCCTCGGGTGAATATATCTAACAATTAAAAATCTTTATTTAATTACCCTGAATAAAAAAAAGTATTGGGACAAAGGAAAAAGTATTGGATTGATCAGAAAACCAATACTTTTCAATATTTTTTTCTTTGTCTCAATACTTTTTTTTTATCAGGGTAAGATTAAGCAAAGATGTAATATTTTTTTTTTTTTAGTCAATAAAACTTTTTTTTTTTTTTTCCATTAATTAATTATAAATTGATTACAAGATATGAATTGTTTATTAATTTTAATTTATTTCACTGCAATGTTATGTAAAAGCAAGTTTAACAAAAATGTGGTATTTAACAATCCTATTTTTAGTTACATATTGGTTACGTTATTATTTAGTCGTTGAAATAAAAGGGATCATAGAATTTTCTCACACGTGTCTTTTATGACTTATGATCATAAATTATGATCATAATTATGATCATAATTATGATCACACTGATAGAAGGATTTGTTTGTATTTAATAAATCAATTTATTAAAATCTTTTTCAGATATTTTTTTGGTTGGAAAAAATATTTTTTTACTATTAACAATATTCGTTAATATTAACTAAATCTATTTTTTATGAGAACAAAATTTTTGTAACTATTAAGAAGCTTTAATGTATTGAAAAAAGTATTTATTTCCACCAAATAAGATTAGTTAATAGTTAACAAATATTTTTTTGGTGGTCAGTGTTGGTAGATGGCTGTACTTAACGCGTAGTTGTGAATATTTTATTTACTCTAGCGATAAAATTAAAACTTGATTTATGTAAAAAATTTATCAAAGCAGAAGGATTTAAACATGTTGTAAAATTTGGTCAAATTGTAAAATATACTAATCTTTAAAAGTTGTCAATTAATTAAAAAAATTTTTATCAATAATCAATTATTTTACTGTAGTTACTTTGATTTTAAATGTATGGTTGCAATAAAAAAATTAATTGTAAACTTCTCTAATACTTTTCTTGTCAACTTCTAATTGTAATTTCTCTTTTTATTATTTGTATTCTTTAATTTAATTTTTCATTTACTTCATTAAATATCTAATTCTCTGTAATTTTTACAATTAAAATAAAACATTGAAACACGTTTTTGAGGAATTTTTTAAACATTAATAATCCAGTATGTAAATATTAATAAATGATTTATTAAATATTAATAAATCATTTTAAATACAAAAAAATCCTTCTATCAGTGCATAAATTATATTTTATTTGAAACAAAATGTACTCTTATATAACAAATATTCTACAGCATAAAACTTAAATTCTCTAATTTGGACAGTTTTCACTTTTTAAACTATAAATTAATAAAATATTAAAAAAATCTAAATTATATTTAAACTCGCGCTTCACTGGAAGGTAGTGTCACCTGCTGGATGTATCTAGAGGCATCACAAGACCGACTTAATGAACGTGAATATTAAGACGATTATAGACGAAGCCTCAATTGAAAAATAAGTGTTTAAGGAGGTCCTTTCGCCGCCAATGTAAAATAAAAAATATTAGATTATGAGTAAATTCTATTTTTTTCTAATAGTTAAGGTCCTTATTTATTTAATAGTGAGGTTTAAATTATACTTTACCGGACAAATTTTTGAAAAAATAAAATTTTTAAATGTTAGTATTTGTTCAGAGTCTTACGAGAAAGTCAGACGTTTGCAGTATTTCTCGAATTATACTATCAGTCATGGATTAGATGAAGTAAAAAAAAACTAAAAATTAGATTTTCGAAATATTCAGGTTTCTTTTTTTGCAATAAAATATATCAGTTACCGAGATATTTATTGAGAAATTAATATTTAAAAATCACAAAAAATTCTCAAGTAACCTACGTTAAAATGGAGTCAAAACATTTGGCAACGTTACGTACCCGAGAAAAAATATTTATATATATTTATATATAAATTGGTTATATATGATTATATATGAAAAATGGCCAAATATAATCATATCTAATTATATATAATTATATATAACTATATATAATTATATATAACAATATTTAATTATAGATTTATTACATCTAATTAATTATTGGGTTAATTTTATGGATAGAGTATTTAATATGGTCCTACGCAATTCTGTGTAACCGATCAAAATGCAAAAAAAATATCTAGATCTAATTTTATGGCTATAACACCAGTGGTCACCCATCCAACTATTAACCCTGCTCAATGCTGCTTAACTTTGGTGATCTCCGTGCGTCTTGAAGTTTCTGTCTGCTGTGCTGCTGTCTTAGACAATAATGATTCTATGATCTACTTAATGTATCATATGAGTTTATCATAAATATAATATAAAAATTGATTTTATAATATATTTGGATAGTCATAATTCATAATTTATTTATCTTACCGAATTTCATTATAGTATAACACTTATTTAAATAATAAAATAAATAATGATTTTACTATTAGGTAGTAGCAGAGCAGACAAGTAGATAAGCAAGGCCGGTTTGACCCCCCGATAAAGTAGAGTTCTGCAGTACCGACCTTGGGTTTCTGCCTTATCGACGGTCGTTGGTGGAGTTTCTGCATTATCGATGGTTGGTTTTTTGTGCTCTACTTACCGACTGTTGTTGGGGATTATCATCGATTTGTTGGTCGATTTTTTTTTACCGACTGTTGGGGGATTATCATCGATTTGTTGATCGATATTTACCGACCATTTTTTCTCGGGTAGCGCGCGAGCTTCAGACCATTCAATAAATTCAAACTAATTTATTTATTTACACTGACTGCAAAAACTTAAACGTGGTTAAGGTTATATTGTGCAAATGAAAATGTAAACAACCGAAGTACAGCGTTGCCAAATCACGGACAGGTTACTAGCAGTTGATTTGAAAGAGTCAAATTAATTTTTGTATTTAACTATTTTTATTTTTTTATTTTCAAAATTTCAACGATTAATGCCTCATATACTATTTATTATTTAATTTTAGGAATTTTTATGGGTTTCTTTTTTTAATTTATCGTATATTGACTACTACAATTGTTTTGACTCAACTGGAGCGAAAGGATTTCCTTAAGTATAATTCCTTAGACTCCTGACTCTGGAGACTTTCCCATTCGGCCGCAGTACTTGGTGGTGGAGCAACCGTGTGTCTGTAGTTCCCGGCGGTCACCGGTAGACGTCCCGGTTTGTATGAATTTAAATTTAAATGAAATCATATTTGGTCAGGAAGTTGCAGAATATGTAGGCAATTTTAGGCGTAGGATTCTATTACCTGAAAAAAAAACACTCATGCATATTTTAATAAAATTTCAAGTTTTTATAAAACTAGACGTAACATGCTCGCTTTGATTCTTCTAATATAAAACGATAAAATAAAGAAAGAATAAACGTCTTACACTGTGTCATTGCCGACGTGGTAAGCATCAATTTCTTCATCGGTTAAAAAAAATTCCATCAACTCTTTTTACGTCGATGCCATTATAAATTAATGATAATGGTCATAATTCTCATGAAAATTATATATTAGGGATTAGAAGAGGATCAACTTTTTAGATAAGAACATACATATTTTTTATTATTATTAATATTATTGTCAGGTAAATTCTCTGCTGTATCATTTTTGAAAATATTTTAAAATTAAACAATTAAATTAATTATAAAAATTCAATGTTACAGTAATAGTAAATTATTCTCTAAATCTTTTTTTTTTTTTTTTTTTTTTTTTTTTTTATTAAATAAGTATCAGATTTTATATATAAAAATACAAAACTATTACAAACATATAAATATTGAAAGCTTAACTAAAAATTTATGAAATTACTGAAAAGTAACCAATAGTAAATGAAATTAAATAATTAATAATAAAACTTATCTTCCGCTTACTTAATTTCCACCAATTTACTTAATTCAAAGTTATTAAAATAAAAAAACATTTCATGAATAAAAGTAGCAGGAAGATATTTAAAATAAATTTCATAGAGAACATTTTCAACTTGATTGAAAAATTTTTTTCGTTGACCAGCTTTTTCCAAGCGATACTTAATCATTCCTGCGTACAGAGGAAACTTGGCCACCATTTTGTCGTCAAACTTATCTTCATCTCCATCCTTGATCCTCAGCGCCAGTTTGTGATAAGATTTGTGCAGTATATCAAACAAGGAAAATCCAGCCATTATTCCGTGAGTATTCTTCATGACTTCAACTTCTGTATCACATTCAACTCTAAATTCTGTTAATTCACTTCCTGAAACAACTTCTTTATTCCTATCGCAGACGTAAAAGCCAGCCGCCATCAGCTTAACAATATGCTTCTTCATAACCTCACGGCACTTTTGTCTGTCTTCATAGCTATCAATTGGTAATTCACCATCATTGCTTACAATATTGACATCACAACCTGCATCCAGAAGATCTTGAAGACTAGAATCAGGATCACCGTTCTTCCCTATGCTCTGAATTTCCGGAAAATGAAGACAAGATTTGTTGTCATCAGTCAGAGAATTTATTTCTATAAAAGAATGACAGCAAAAACCTGCGACTTGCTGAGTTATTGTTATTATAAGTCGTTTTTATCAGAGGAGTCAAATCATCGATATCTCCAGCATTAATATCAGCGCCATGTTTGATCAGCAATTTCAACATTTTTACGTTATTTGCCGAAGCAGCCATACCCATCGGCGAGTCTTCAGCATTGAAATCTTTTCCGTGAACATTAGTGCCCTGGCTGATGAGAAATTCAGCGATCTCATAAGCATTCAGATTGACAGCGAATAAAAATACAAACCGATTACAAGCATATAAATATTAAAAGCTCAACCAAAAACTTATAAATTTATTAAAAAGAAATCAATGATAAATGAAATTAAATGACGAATAATAAAACTTATCTTCTGCTTACTTAATTTCGACCAATTTACTCAATTCAAAGTTACTAAAATAAAAAAACATTTCATGAATAAAAGTAGCAGGAAGATATCTAGAAGAAACTTAATAGAGAACGTTTTCAACTTGATTGAATAATTTTCTTCGCTGACCAGCTTTTTCCAAGCGATACTTAATTCACTTCCTGAAACAACTTCTTTATTCCTATCGCAGACGTAAAAACCAGCCGCCATCAGCTTAACAATGTGCTTCTTCATAACCTCATGGCACATTTCTTTGTCTCCATAGGTATCAATCGGTAATTCGTCATGATTGCTCACAATATTGACATCACATCCAGCATTCAGAAGATCTTGAAGACTAGACTCAGGATCAATGTCCTCTATCGAGAACCAAACTCCTGGAAAATGAAGACAAGATCTCTTGTCATTAGTCAGAGAATCTATTTCTATAAAAGGTTGACTTAGCAAAAACCTGCGACTTTCTGAATTATCGTCTTCAGCAGCTGCTTTCATCAGAAGAGTCAAACCATTGTCGTCTCCAGCATTAATATCAGCGCCATGTTTGATCAACAATTTCAACATTTTTACGTTATCCGAAAAAGCAGCGATACCCATTGGCGAGTCAGTATTATCTCCGTCATTGCCAATTCTTTCGTGAACATTAGCGCCCTGGCTAATGAGAAATTCAGCGATCTAATATGTATCCAGCTGGACAGCAAATTCCAACGGTGTATAATAATTATAATAAATTTGAGGATTACCTTCATCATTAAGCCTATCTCTTTCTCTCTCATATGTGTCAAGTACACAGATAATCTGATTGACATCAGCACCAGCTGTCACTAATTTCTTCACGTACTTCAAGCTGTTTAGACTTATCGCCGATAAAATTACTGGTGCCAATTACGCTCAATGTTCTGTCTCCAGCTTGGTGTCGGCATTGTTCTCCAGGAGGAAGTCTACGAATTCATCGTCATCTACGTAAAGAGCCAAGTGAAGAATAGTATATTCGAAAAAATATTCTTTGCGATCGTTTAACGGTAAAAATTCTGAACTCGGAATTTTTATTCGATCTCTATCATAAATTTTTACTACCGTGTTGACATATAACTTCTTTGACATTATTAAGTTACGAACTTCTTTGTAGTTCAATTCACGAAAAATTTTGAAGTCTTTAATTTCTTCTCTGGTATTATTCATGACTTTAATTATTTGTATAACAAAAACTGATTATCAGCTGGTTGTTGAAATTAACTAAATATTATAGGCTATACGTTTCAGTTTAGATTTTATACAACTGTCATCTACAGTGTGTGACATCTAGAGGGTGCGTTGACGTTTTTTTTTTTTTTTTATTTGTAGTTTAAACAATTAATTTGTATATTATCAGGTTACGTTTATTGTCTATAATTAGTACAAAAATTGTCTGTAACAGATTATAATGAAAATTTAATTTTTTTGTAATGAAAATTAAGTTAGCCGACGTCGAAAAATTTATATAAATTTTTTTATTAAAAAAATTATTGCAAAAAAAAAAATAAAAACAAATTTTATCTGTAAAATTTAGCGTTATTTTTTTATGACACTTAAGGGATCATTCTGATTTGTAATTTTTGGAGAAATTATGTTTTTTTTTTAGATTTTTCGGAAGTCAATATATCTCTAAATGTATTTTATTAATTTTTTTATGTAATCGCCCGGGAAAAAATGATCAGACATGAAAAATGTCCTAAGTTAGCAAATATTTAAATATTTATGTACTTTATTCTTCTCACTCATATTATTTGATTAAACAATTAAATTAAGGATTATAAAAATTTAATGTTACAGTAATAAATAATTATAAAAATAATTCATCTCTAACTTACTTTTTTATTATTAAAAAAGTACCACATTTAATTAATAAAAATACAAACTTATTACAAGCATAAAAATATTAAAAGCTCAACCAAAAATTTATATATTTACTGAGAAGAAACCCCTGATAAATGATATTAAATGACTAATAACAAAACTTATCTTCCGCTTATTTATTTTCCACCAATTTACTCAATTCAAAGTTACTAAAATAAAAAAACATTTCATGAATAAAAGTAGCAGGAAGATATCCAGAAAAAACTTTATAGAGAATATTTTCAACTTGATTGAACAATTTTCTTCGCTGACCAGCTTTTTCCAAGCGATACTGAATCATTCCTGCGTAAAGAGAAAACTTGGACGCCATTTTGTCGTCAAACTTATCTTCATCTCCATCCTTGATCCTCAGCGCCAGTTTGTGATAAGATCTGTGCAGTATATCAAACAAGGAAAATCCAGCCATTATTCCATGAGTATTCTTCATGACTTCAACTTCTTTATCACATTGAACTCTAAAGTTTCTTAATTCGCTTCCTGAAACAACTTCTTTATTCCTAGCGCAGACGTAAAAGCCAGCCGCCATCAGCTTAACAATATGCTTCTTCATAATCTCAAGGCACTTTTCTTTGTCTCCATAGGTATCAATCGGTAATTCACCATGATTGTTTACAATATTGACATCACAACTTGCATCCAAAAGATCTTGAAGATTAGACTCAGGTTCATCAACGGTAATCTTTACGTACCAAATCTCTGGATAATGGAGACAAGATTTTTTGTCATTAGTCAGAGAATTTATTTCTATGAAAGGTTGACTTAACAAAAACCTAAGAGTTTCTGAACTTTCGTCTTCATAAGCGACTTTCATCAGAGGAGTCACGCCATTGATGTCTCCACCATTAATATCAGCGCCATGTTTGATCAGCAATTTCAACATTCCTACGTTATTTGCCAAAGCAGCGATACCCATCGGCGAGTCGCCTATCTCTCCATAGAAATCTCTTTCTTGAACATCAGCGCCCTGGCTGATGAGATATTTAGCAATCTCATATGCATTCTGATTGACAGCAAATTCTAGAGGTGTATATTCATGATAATCAAGATGAATATTATAATGATCTTCATCATTAAGCCTACCATTATATTCCTCATATGTGTCTTTTGCACAGATAATCTGATTGACATCAGTACCAGCTGCTACTAATTTCTTCACGTACTTCAAGCGGTTTAAACTTATCGCCGATAAAATTACCGGTCCCAAATGTTCTGTCCTCAGCTCCGTGTTGGCATTGTTCTCCAGGAGGAAGTCCAGGAATTCGTCGTCATATACATAAAGAGCCAAGTGAAGAATAGTATATTCGAAGAAATCTTTTTTGGGTCTGATTTGCGGTGATAATTTTAAATCAGGAATTTTAATTCGATCTTTCTCATAAACTCTTACCACCGTGTCGACAGATAAGTTTTTTGACATTATATAGTCACGAACTTGTTCGTAGTTCAATTGACTTAAGTCACGGAAGATTATAAAGTCTTTTATTTTTTCTCTAAGATTGTCCATGACTAATTATTTTTTGTTACAAAAATTGATTATCCGCTGATGGTTGTTGAAATTAACTAAATATTATATGTTATATTTTTGTTCAGTTATGTACTTTAGTTTTTATAAGTTAAGAGAAAATTGTAATGTATTTTTAAGTTTACTCATGTTTTCTAAAATATTTCGTCAGACTTTCACAAAGACGTTATAAAACTTAAAATTCGGAAATTTATGAGTCAAACTCAAGTAGTTGCCATTGTCAGATAATCCCTTTAATGACTTAGACTAACCTTCAACGCAAACGGATAAATTTTACAATCCATCTGTTCATCAGATGGCGACCAGACTTTTCCCAATTTAGCAATTTTCTCACACTTAGTTTAAACAACCTTTCTGTAAATAAATTATACCCTTTCCAGAATCCCTTTAGTTAACAACAATTCCCCAACTCCAGTTACTTTCCACCAATCAAAAACGGAAATACCCTTCCCAAAATTGCACTCTCTGACTGACGATAGTTGGACGAAAAATCGAATAAGACAGTTTACCCAAAAACCTTTGACCACGCTCGCCGAGCGCCTTTGTTACTGACAAACCTCTGATCACGCTCGCCGAGCGTCTTATACCTGACCTTTACCGACTTTTGTACTGATTAAATTATTGTAAAAGTATAGTCAGTTCTCAATTTAATAAATCAATTTACAAAAACGAAATATTTGTGATCTTTTTAATTAAATATCACAAAAAATTCTTGTTAAATTATAACCAAATTAATTGGCAAGAAAACATTTTGGTCCTCAAAGCCGGAGATATAAATTTATATTTGTAGATCCCAGTGAAATATATATTAGTAAAGAAGTGTAACGTGCAAGTGACAATACCAACGGTGTCCATCAGTTCAAGTGTATCACGACGACCAATTCCAACTGACAGTCCAGAAAGCCATTCACGTCCTAGGAGGGCATCAAGAGTTTATCATCACCATCATCATTAAAGGTTAGTTGGTTTTTTGTTTCACCAAATCAATTAATAAGTCGCCAATTAACATCGATCCCTTTAATCAAAAAAGTTATTGCATACCCATTCCCAATTTCTTATATCATTAATAACCTATTTCTTCCCTATTTGAATCAATATGGCCGATTTCACTCGACTCAAAAGACAACGCGGGCATATTCAGGCTATGATAACCACCCTGAAGAAGATTTTAGATGCATCAGATGAATATCCGGATCAACGTAACATTAATTATATTAGATCATCCCTCGAATCGGCTCGGAAAGCTTTCGAAAAATTTGAAAGAATTCAAGGTCAATTAGAAGAGTTAGATGAGAAAGAAATAGATAATCGTGCCGCGTACGTACAATTATATAACCTGGAAGTCGCCCGGGCTGAAACATTGCTACAAGAAGCAAATCCCCCACCAATACCTGCAGTTGACCAAGCAGCAGCCAACGCAGCCGTTGTTCATACACAAGTCGCTTCAGCACTACCACCCATCACCGTACCTACCTTTGACGGAGCTCCAGAAAATTGGTTCTCCTTTTTTAATTTATTTGAAGCCGTACTTGATGAATACAAGTTAAAACCAGTTAAAAAATTACATTTTCTTCGGACAGCACTCAGCGGAAAAGCAGCAAACGCGATCGAATCCCTCGAATTAACAGACGAAAATTATCAAGTTGCTGTTTCGATTTTAAAAGATCGATATGAGTCAACCCGGCGACTCACCCGTCGTCATTGGTCAGTTTTGCGCGAGTATCCACGTTTGCAGAAAGATTCACCAGCAGCGATTAGTCAACTCGTAGATACTTTCAACCAGCACACTAGAGCATTAGAAAATCTTAAAGCACCAGTCTGTTTTTGGGATATTCCGTTGGTAGATTTAATTTTGTCCAAGATCGGTTCCACTACAGCATGGCATTGGGAGTTAACCCTATCCGATGATAAAATTCCACCGTACAAAGACCTTTTAAAGTTTCTCGAAAAAAGAGCGGTTTGTAGAGATAATGTCCGGAATGACACAAATTCAAGTTCCTCGAAACAAGATCATAATTCAAAACTAAATCATCATCGACCGCAAACTCAAGCATTTTACTCGAATAACAATGCTAAGCAACATTTGTCAAACCATCAACATGAAACCTTGGTTAACTGCCCTGTCTGCGATGAGAAACATCGATTATATACCTGCGACAAATTTCGTGAGCTGACGGTCGAGGAAAGACGAAAAGTCGTTTTAAATGCCCAGCTATGTTTTAATTGTTTCGGAAATAATCATACAGTAAAATTATGTCGTTCAAAGGGTACATGCAGAAAATGTTTAAAACGTCATAATACATTATTACATATTGAAAATACCGATAATTCATCAGTCAGTCCAAAGTCTGAATCCAACAACAATAACAACAATAATAATGATAGCCATATTTGACTAGTAAATGAAGACCCAGCTACAAAAAGCCTACCTGCATCCAAAGGAAGGCAAATTACCTTAGTAGTAGATACGTTCTCAAACGACATTATGGTTACAGCCATATTAAATGTGTTAGACAAAGACCAAAAAGCTATGTCATGCAGGGCATTGCTTGATACCTGTTCCACTACAAATTTCATGACCCAAAGTTTAGCAGAGACCTTAAGATTAAAAACTACTACCTGCCGTATACCTATCGGCGCACTCAATACCATGACCACTTATTGTAACAAAATAACTACCGCTACCATTACCTCTCGTGTGAACAATTTTAAGAGAACTTTGACCTTTTTAATCATTCCTACCATATCGCATATTATACCAGATCAACCAATTCAACGAGAAATGTTAAAGATACCTGCAAATATTAAGTTAGCTGACCCAACCTTTCATAAACCAGGACCTATTGACCTGCTTATAGGAGCAGGAACCACACTTTCAGTGTTATCAATCGGACAAATACCATTGTCATTACCAAACCAACAAGAAGTATTTCTTCAGAAGACATTACTTGGATGGATTGTAGGAGGAGCTGCACCAACAAGTAATAATGTCACTGCGCCGCAGTGTCATGCAACCAGTACAATTAATTTTGATTTAAACAAGTTTTGGGAGATTGAAGAATGCCCAACCACCAGTAAACTTACACCAGAAGAAATACAGTGTGAACTTCATTTTCAGAAACACGTATCAAGAACACGCGATGGCCGATATATCGTAGCATTACCATTTAACCCAAACAGTCCTGACCTTGGAGAATCGTACCATCTCGCGTTAAAAAGATTAAAAAGTACCGAACGAAAATTAAAGAATGACCCAGACCTAGAAGTTCAATATGATAATGTATTACAAGAATATTTAGACCTCAACCATATGTCACCAGTCAATGTTTCACCTTCAAATACACCTAATTATTATCTACCACATCACGCCGTGATTAAAAGCAGCAGTATGACCACTAAAGTACGAGTTGTGTTTGATGGATCTGCGAATACAACCACCGGTGTATCTTTAAATGACGTATTATTCACTGGACCTACCATTCAATCTGATTTATTCTCATTATTAATACGTTTTAGAAAACACCCTATCGTTATAACAGGCGATATTGAAAAAATGTACCGACAATTTTTAATTAGAAAAGAAGACCGAAAATACCAACATATCCTGTGGAGGAACAGTAATAATGAAATACAAACCTACGAGTTAGATACCGTAACCTTTGGGATTAGAACGCCTCCAAACCTGGCTATTC